GGCAGTAGGTCCCCCCCCCATTCTCATTATGGCCCCCACCCGCCGCCCAGGGGTGGGGGCCGGAGGGGGGGGAGTACTGTGTCCCCCCCCTCATTCTCACTATGGCCCCCACCCGCCGCCCAGGGGTGGGGGCGGGGGGTAGGACAGTAGGTCCCCCCCCATTCTCATTATAGCCCCCACCCGCCGCCCAGGGGTGGGGGGAGTACTGCCCCCCCCCCCATTCTCACTGTTTAGGGGTAGGGGCCAATGATTTGTTTTGTTGTTTTACGGTGAGCAGCCACAGGCTGCTCACTGTTCAAATGTGAACTTTATGCCCCTACTTTCGCCCGGTATAGCGAGTAGGGGCATTAGGAAAAGATTTTATCTCCCTTGTGTAATATGGGGTCATATTGACCCCCCATACTTAAGTCGGAAGGGCCTGGGGGCTTATGAGTGGTGGGGAGCACTGCTCATAAAAGCTTCTATGATTTTATATTACAAGGGAGGGAGCTGCATGCGTAGCTCCCTCCTTGTAATAAACTAAACGAACAAACAAACACCGATACATTGTGTTTGTTTGTTCGGCTGATATTTCTATTCACTCATTCGTCTGTCTGATGGATGAATGAATAGATGAAATTCCCGTTCGCATGTCCAGGTGTTTCACTGGGCATGTGCGGGAATCTCACAGTCTGCCTAGTGTGGGCTGATGACGTGTCCCTGAGGGACTTCACCTACCCACACAAAGATGGCTGCGCCCTGAATATAGATCGGGGCAGAAAATAAGGATTTAAAAATAGGTAATGTGGGGGGCTTAGGGGCATTTGGGGGTGACTAGTGGGTCTATTGGATGTAGTGGAGGCGGGAGGGGGGTTAAAAAAAAAACAGAATTCGGCATGACAGTGCCGCTTTAAGTGAAGAGGTGTCTTTAGAAGCTTGTTGAAAGATGAAAGAAAGGTGGTATAGAGGGATGTTTGTTAATGTGGTTGGGTTCTAAGAGGGGAAAATGAGAGCAGAATTGTAAAGGTAGGCCAGTGGCTTACCAGAAGCCAGTTGTGCCTTTAAAGAAGAGATCAGGCATTAGCATAATGTTAAGGGGTATGGTTGTAACAGTATTTTGGATTTGTTGAAACCTATTAATGACGTTTTCCTGATGACAAAGCATAAGGGAGTTGCAGTAATCAAGCCTGGTGAAGAAGAGTGTGGTTAAGGATATTTACAGAAGTGAAGATTAGTAGTGAGGTGAATTTTCTAGATATTAGGTGAACCTGACAGACAGAAATGACCGTTGCTTTGTGTTTTTCAAAGATTTAAAAGGAAATGGACCCAGAGGTTGTGAACTGTGGGTTAAGAGATAGTGAGAGACTTGGAGAGTGGGGGTATGGAATGAGAGATAAGAGTATGCGGGGAAGAATACTACTTCCATTGTGGCAATGTTAATTTGAAGAAATCCATTGGATTTCAGAACATCAGAATGGTATGTCAGGTCACTGAGCAGGGCCCTCAACCTGTCTGTTCCTGTGCATCCTTTTGTCTGGTTACAATTGCGTGTCTGTTAGTCCACCTATTGTACAGCGCTACGGAATTTGCTGATGCTCTGTAAATAATATAAGATGTGGGAATAAAGGAAGGGAAACTAGAACATCTGCAGGTCATCTACAAAGAATTGGGCATTAAAACCATCCAAGATGATGTACAGATCTTTGTTTGACATGTACAGGGAAGGGGAGAACTAACCTTTTTACTTGGAATGTCAAAGGATAATTGGCTCAATCTAATTGGGCTACAATACCGTGGGCAACTCTGCAGTATATCCTGCATTAGCATGTAGTGGTACAGGTTAGGTCAAAGAAACCCACGGACTATGGGGTTGCCTAAATTAGAATACCTTGCCAGAGAGACCAGGGTCCTACCGTCACAACTATTTCCAGTTTCATTTTATTAGTAATCTTATTATATACACATCTAAACTATTGTCAAACTATAAAACTCTTGCTAATCACTGTGGGTATGAATGTGTAGTAAATAAAGTGCCATTAAACTGCATGATTATTAAATGTTAAAGGGATCCTATAGTGCAAGGAAAACCCGTTTTTCTGGCTCTGTAGGATCTTAAAGTGCCCCCCTCCCTCGGCGCTGAAGGGTTTAAAACCCCTTCAGCCACTTGCCTTAATCCAGCATCGGCGTTGGTGATCTCTCCTCCCCCACTGAATTCGGCTCCCAAGTGGAGCCGCAGGCGCGGCCAGAGGCGCGCGTATTCAAACCCGCCCATAAGAAAGCATTACTCAATGCTTTCCTATGGGGATCTTATTTGACGCTAGACTCCATGAGGATGTCCAGCGTCTAAGTGCGATTTACTCGGTGTAAATCGCGAAAGCACCTCTAGTGGCTGTCAGGGGGACGGCCACTAGAGGCTGGATTAACCCTGCAGTGTAAACATAGCAGTTTCTCTGAAATTGTTTTCAGCTGCAGGGTTAAAACTAGGGGGACCTGGCATCCAGACCACTTCATTGAGCTGTAGTGCTCTGGATGCCTATAGTGGTCCTTTTTAAAGGCTGCTTAATCTTGCTATGTATTTGATAAATGTGGTTCTGTGAGAAGTAAGGAGAGGAAAACTCATAACTTGAAAAATATGCAGTAGACTCAATTTATTACTACACCGCCAAATGTCTGTTTCTGAGCCCCATAAATATACACTTGTCCCTGTACGCAGTGCAATATTAAAACCGTTCAGCATATTGGATTATACGGTTTGTGTCTAATGAGACTAAACCACTGTCACTTGGAGAAGT